ATATATACTGAGGCTTGGATCGCTCAGTGGGTGAAGCCGTCGCTTCTGTTTTAATGCCTGCAGGAATTCACGCGGACATTTGAACGGTTGAGGAATTATGCCACGTATATTTGGATTTCTTGCCGCGTTACCTGTGCTATCAGGAATGTGCAAGACATTTCCAGGGAATGCGGCTGTCGATTTCACGCGTTTTCTCGTAGGAACTAAAGCGAGATGAGTCATCTACGCTACCGCGTGAATTTGCTGCTTTCCCATTGTGACTCAGGTAATAAGATGAGGGCTAGAATACTTCCAACACACACAGAGAGATCACTTTTAGCCGTTCCGCGTCTGTGGTATGCAGGCGCAAACCCTTCACGCCCGTGCGAATGATACATCCGTTCAAGGAACATCCATGCTTCAAGTGGCCCAAATACAGGGTTTGCCTGTTCCGTCAAACAGGCTGTCAAATTGTAAAGTAATCGACATTCTCAAGTGCCCTTATGCTACGGACAGTTGTATGGACCAAGATTACCGGGGAATTCTGCCTGTACACCGAAAATTAGTCCTTGAAAACGAACGTTGTGAATTTGGAGCCTACGAGATGGGTGGAACACTTGGAGCGCATGAGTATCGAGAACCGGAGAGTGTACGTTGATGTAAACCGTTTTCCTTTGTACGGTGTGTAATAGATACATATGTCGTGGCCAAGGGATAAATATGAAACACAGTCTCTAGCACACAAGCTGTTTGAGACCTGCTCGACGGGCGATGTGGCTGCAGACTGAAAGTCGGCGTACGTTCGTGCAGTTGGGAATCAATCCTGTCTTTCATTCAAGTCTTCACGAACAAGAGTGCGTTTCCTATCTTTTGTCCAGTTCTGACCGGACAGCAGTTGTTTGCATTAGTTTGGTTCATTGTTTCCACAGCTAGTTTTCGGTGCTCGCTGAACACGAAACCAAACAGAAGGATTAGCCAGGGTGATGAATCTACAACGTTTTGATCGAGCAAAGACGCACTGGAATATCAGTTGTAGGTGGTACTAGAACCTGACGCTTTCACGTCGCTCTCGTTCTAAAAGTGAGTTGGTGAGTTCTCACCAAAGAGTTGGACAGTTTTTTTTATTATTATAACTAATCAATAACGCATATCTTTGGCCATACTGGGATTTGAGCTCCGGATTTCTGACATACGAAACAAGCACGTATCCACTACTCTTGTAACGTTGGATACAACTGATGAGGCATGCGAGTCGTCTGTGGGTTTCACTTAAATCCACTTCGCGTCTCTTGAATTTGTGGAGTCGTTTTGTAACATTTGCTTGCACTTGAGTAACAGTCAATGAATATCCAGGAAAGTTTAGGAAGCTGCGTTGAAGGAGAAGATGGATATTCGGTTTTCGTAAACAAGATGCGTATGAGAGTTTTACTGCCCTGTCCAATAGTCTGTAACTGTTCAGTTAGTGTTTTCTATCGAACAACTCCGCGGCGAAAGCCTTCTTCCTTTCGCTTTTACAGCTGGAATGATCTGCTTCACCACGTTTGATCATCTGGGCGGATTCACACTTCACTGGTGTGATTGGTTCGCCCGATGAACCAGCAAAGGTTCTGGTTGTGTCGATCGATTGATCTGCATTTCGGAACTTCTCAGTACGGAAGGATGAAACCCGCTGGACAACTTCTGACTGTTTGTACATGGCTGTGGGTCTCATAAAATTCGCATTCGGACAGACCAAAACCGAAAGGGCATTGTAAGCTCATTTTGTATTTTTCATCAGAAATATCAGGATCCGATCCACATTTTTTCCCGCCAAGATATTCTTTCCTAGCATAGCACTTCTTAGTGGACTTTTGAGCCCATTCGACCGTGCAAATAGACCAAATCAAGATGGTACTGACGAATCAGAGACGCTCCACACTACTGTGTAGTGCGACAAGGGACTTCAAAAACCCCAAATGTCTGCTTCGCGCCCACCAAACACGAGGAAATGTTTGTTTTAACCGAACCTATCCTGACTAGCACTTTCGTAACAATTCAACGCTTTCAATTTCTAGATTACGGTTAACTTTGCGGAACTGTCCGCACACTTCACTGTCTAAGCCCCAATCACAATGTAGGACTAGAGTTCCCATTTTCCCCCAGTTTGTACTTGGCTTGTGAGTCGTGGTTGAATTCGGTCGGATGAATTCGGTCGCTTCTTAAAATCCCCACATATTGATCACATAATTTCATTCCGTCCGGTGACAAAACAAGCAGTTGACGACACCCCTAGGAGGGCACTTCAAGAGACGAAGATGGAAGGGAGATTTCTGTATTTTTCTATTTTTTCCCACCAAACTCGCTTATACATAGCCAGCAGCTGATTTTTTTCTAGTACACACGTTAAAAACTTCCCTTGGTATCTTACCAACACATAAGATCATAGCTGAAAGGAAGTCTCAGTTGAATCACTACGAATTCCACCTGACAAATACACTGTTTTATCCAAATAACAGTTGGTGTACTTAGTACTCGTGTTCGGGTATCCGAATGAATAAAAAGCGCAAGGGATTTGTATAGTCACGTGGTAAATCGATCACACTAGTCGACAGATACATCTGAGAATCCATCACCGACGGTTGCTTATAGCCAGTGTATACATTCTGTTAGACACAGAGGAATTGCTTCGCACACTATTAATTTGGATAGGAACACATAAGATGTCTTCCTATTTTCAAACCTCGAGATCCCCGTCGCCAAGAGCTACCAAATGAACCGCCTAGTATTGATCCCTTAAAAAAGATTTGATAAACGTCCAACTTGATGAAAGTGCTGTGATAAATATCATTACTAACGTGTTCAATAAGCCTGAGAATTCGATCTGTACATTCGCTAATAGCCGTTCTTCCAAATCATTGTAGTGTTTTATTGATCATCAGTTGTATTGATTATTTCAACTCACTGGCGGACTTTAATCTGTTTTAGACTTTGTATTTCGAGATTCCTCGCTGACACACGAACCGGATTATACCTGGGTTATCTGAGGCTATGGTTGATGGATAAAGCCCAATACTGTTTAGGAAACGGAGGTTCAGACAAGCGTATAATCCCTCTTTGGGACGATTAGATGATACTGGAGGAGGGTACAGTGCCATGATCTTATTCCTTCAGTAATTCTACGCTCAAGTGTGACTGTTGAGTCAGCGCTTCAGGCAGGTCTTCTCAAAGAAAGAAGCGATAAAGCAAGGTTTGGCAAGGAATAGCGTTCGCATACTGGGTCAAGCAAGAACGAAGAGAGAACGCGAATTTATGGAGGCATGGTACTCCACTGAAGACGCTATCAATAAACATCGAAACTGATCCCATTTACCAAACACTAAGAGCGAGAGAACGCCAGAACCACAGAGCTTTGAGCTGCAAAATAACCAGACGAGGAACCCATAACAGAAGCAGGAAAAATTCCACTCAGATGGACACATCAATTGGATTGGAGGCGCCCAACCACACCACCGAATTAACCGGCGGACGCAGAAACACCAACCGTTGCAGTGGAGAAAATAGGGCGGTGCAGGCGACCAATCAAGCTCGAGAACGCCAGACCACAACGCAATGCCAATCAAGGCCAGAGAACAAATTACTAAAAGTAGAAAGCGTTGGGATAATCAATCAGCACAAAGGAACACAGACCACAACACAACCAAGATCACAAACAGACCAATAGATTCACGAAACTCGTTCCCCCCAAGTAGACGATAACATCAGAAAACCGGATAGTCTTCAAATACTATATAAAAGCACGCAGGCAAGGGAGAAGTACCCACTCAAGTGTGCACTGATGATGTCTCCTCGTTTGGTGACGAAACATTTGCGAACCCACTGCTGAGCTCGGTGAACAGATCAACGGCCGCCTGATCAACAATCACTAAGGTTTCTCACTCGACCTTCCGGTGGACTGTAGTATCACGTTGAGAGAATATGATGCAATGAAACAGAGATCAGCACACAAGATGACGAGCTGTGAAGAGGGAAACAACCCGAATCTCGGGAACCCTTAGAAGAGTAGTGTGAGTGGGAGCAACGAAGGTAATACCTTGGGTGACGGCACCCGGTAATGTCCCATGTGTGCTGGTGACGGTAGCTTCCGCATGAGGGGACCCCATCGAACGAAACGTTTATGTCTTTCCTAATTAATAAACAACAATAATTAATGATAATTAATAATAATTAGTAAATAAACATTGTCACTGTTAGAATGGCAATGACCAGGCCTTTGTTCGAAACAGCAGCGTTGACCACCAAGCTACTTATTTAGTTATCTGATAGTGTTAGACACAGTTGAAGTCGGGGGAGTACTACCATCATTTGGATGCCTATCAACTTGCGGTGCTTCTGTTCATATGCCTTTTGCAAATAAGTGCTCCGGATACGTTTACGATTCTTGTTTAACTTTGTGACCGATGAAATCATGAGGCGAACGCCTGAAGGCCTCTAAAACGCCGGTGTTCAAATAGCCTGTGAAAACAAACTTGTCTGGAATAAGCAGACGACATCGTTCTCATGTTCGGAGAGAAGGAAAAGGCGCAAGAGTTCTCGGATGAAGTGACCAAGGTCATCCCAGCCTTTGGCATGCAGTTTGCACCCACATGGTGTAAGGTCATGTCCATGAAAGTGCAGTCACTGAACATGCCACTTACAATCCAGGGAGATGCACTGGAAGTTGTGGAGCGTTTCACGTATCTTGGAAGTTGTATTAGTTCTGACTGTAGCGTGAAAGATGAGGTGAATGCACGAATCTGCAAGGCTCGGG